CAGGGAACTGATGTAACAGGGAAACTGCAATGACTGGCTAAGGAAACTGGAACTGGATGGGGATCAAAAGGCGTGACTGAGTTCAGAGGGAGAAAAGAGGGGGATTAACTTGGTGGTTGGTGAATTGAAGGAGAGACTAAGAAGTGATAGTTGGAAAATTAATGGCATGACTAAGAAGTCTAAGGGAACCAGAATGGAGACAGAAAACTCGTGGGAATGACTAAGAAAATGGCAGTGAGGAGTGGAGAAAGTCATCACGTGGCATGAGGATGTGAGAGAAGTTGAATGCAGGCCATGTAGGGAGTTGGAGAAGATGGTGGCAGAGGGAGAAAAGACAGTCTGACAGTTAAAGCCACTAAAAACTATCCAGGGTGATTAAGTCCCATCCCAGCATTGGAAAGCATTTTTACAATTAACAAATTGTGTATTCTACATTTCTGAGACATTTAACTTGTCACACTGGAGTCTTTATTCCAAGTTTTGTAGACTCAGAGCTTCAACAGAAGACATCTTACTATGTTTTGAACTTTTATAGTGCTGCATAAGGCTAACTGTTTTCAAAACTCAGGTCCCAGGCATCTCAAAATGAGATTTGTTTCCTATCACGCACCTTTCTGTGACCGACAAAATACTGCTAAAATGTCACAGAGTGCTTAAAGGGAAAGAACATCTCCCATACTATGTTTGTTTCCTGAGAGAGCAACTGTTGTGTGTGTCAGAGGTACCCACTGCTGAGTAACGCAGACAGCAGCTTGCCACACAAGGCTTTGGAGGAAACTCCTAACTGCTCCCCTGAGAATACAGCCCCAGACATAACCATGTTTATAGTATTCAATGATCCATACAAGTATCTTGCCTGACTTCCTGCACAACACAACCCACAGAATTGCACAGAGCTCCCCAACTTTGATTAGAACAGATACATTCATGGCACACAGCTACACATGTGCTGGTAGGTGTTTCTCCTCTCTGCATTTTTTAATGCGCTTTTTGTTCTCAGTCATGCTCTTCATGTAGACAGAAATCCCGGGACTGGGAACCAGCCATCATACAAAAAGACCTCAACAGATAAAGACATTAGTCTCCACAACTTAAAAATAAACTCCATGGCTTGAAGGACAAATCTCCTTACACAAACTTTCCAACTGTGAAATCCTAGAGATCTTGGCCAAGAGATTTCACTGAATGAAATGATGGTTATCTTTTGATTGTTTCCAATTAAGACAATTACAATAATTTAACAACTAAAAAATATAGGGAGAGATTTGGATAAACTATTATCTGTGGAAGAAGGAAACACTTTTTCTCTGTGAGGGTGACCAAGCACTGGTACAGGTTGCCCAGAGAGGCTGTGAAATCTCGATCCTTGGAAGATATTCAAAAGTAATCTGAACACAGTCCCTCCTGGGCAACTGGCTCTAGGCGGCCCTGCTTGAGCGAGGAGGTTGGAGTAGATGACTTCTAGAGTTCCCTCCCATAATATCTGAGAGATTTAATTTTTTACCCACTGCTGCAAGACCTGGGGTCACCTGAAGTGCTGCCTTTTACACTTCTAGACTGAAATACTTTCCTAAAAGGTAAGTGAGGCACTGCACAGTGTTTGCTAATTTTCTCACACGGTTATTACTCACACCTGTGTTTATGTAGATGTATCATATCACTGCAAGTAATTCAGTGTTTGCACAATGTTTTGAAGGTGTCAGGCATTCGCATGCTTGTGTGTTTGCGTATTTGCACAGACACCGTATATCAAAACAGTCTTGTTTTTCTTGGATGATAAAAGCCATTCACTGCCTTTTTTAAAGTCAGTACTCAAAATCCATGTATGTATGTATTATTCATCTGAGCTGATTGTGCTTTAGCTTCTTTATGGACTCTTTAAAATATGCACTAATAAAATCTTATTAGCATTTTATTATCAACAGCCTCAACATACCAATATTGCAAGTTGTATGGATTTTGTGGTCACTGTGAGTATGACTCTAGATTACTAAGCAATCAATGCATTTGTTAAAACATTTCTGGCAGTTGATGTTTCTGAAAAGGTAAAAAATTTTTAGTATTATTCAGGCAATTTGCAAACATACTTCTGCCTTTAAGGGCTCTCTGTTTATGTCAACACAATGTAGGAATGAATTCAATCCAGGTAAGCTACTATGATTTACTAACACCTCCCTTTAGCTCATGTTCAACAGCTGGCTGGGCAAAATTCTATGTTAGAAATACACCAGGTATTTAGGACCTTAACTTGCTATAAATTCTTTGAAGTCAATAGGCAGGATTTAAAAATCAATGGAAGGATATGGCTCAAAAGTGCCTTTTCTGAAGCTATAATGGCGCAAATATTATCACCGAGCACTCACTTATACCTAAGATCCGAACATTTGAAATAAAAGCCCAGAGATCTAGAAGTGTGAGATAACATCAAAATCAATGCGTTTAAGTCCCTTAATAGCTCATCTGATTCATCTCACCAACAGGAATATATGATTATCTCTAGAACAGACAGGCATTTATAGTAGTAGCACTTTTTGTGGTGGAGCACTTTGAAGTCTGCTATTTTAAAAGTGGTTATAGAAAGACATTAGTGAGAAAACAAGATAAATGTTTTAGTGAGGAATTACATGGTTGAGAAATCATACATGAGGGATACTCTTCCCAACAGATTTCACCCATTTTGCATGAGTACCCTCTGGTTGCATTAGAGGTGTTTTTGGTGGAACGTACATACTAAGACTGAGGAAGCAGTTATTGAATTCACCTGGTGGAGTTAAAGGAAGTGTTAATCTCTATTTTCAGTCTATTTTTATGGCACCTGACCCTGTATCATTTAAGACCATAGACGTTGGCTCCACAACGAGTCAGCACTCTACAGAAAATATGTTACTAAACAAACTGTTAGAAGAAGGGTCTCTATTAGAAAATACAATTCAAACGTAGTAAGCACAGTACACCCCAAATACTATTGCAAAATAAATACACAACTCAAATGTGGCTACTCCAACCGCTTCAGTACTATAACAAAAACTACAGAAACAAGGGGATGAGCAAACATTGTAGTATCAGAAAAAAATGTTACTCTTCAGAAGTCAAATTCTCTCTGCAGTAAACAGAAATGGTACCAGCATTAGCAAAAGAATAATCATACACTCTTGCTTATCAGATGCCAAGCAAAGATAGGAGATAATCATGTCTAAGTTCATGCAATCACACTGACTGATGTCAAATATACTCCCACTTCAGCTGCAGCTGCACAACTGCATAGTGGTGCCTCTGGTCAGACCCGGGATGCTTTTGCCCATGTGGTGACAATAACTCGCAAAGAAACGTACCAACAGCATAGCTGTACGCTCCTAGTCCCGGGTCCCTGCTAACAGAGGCCCATTTGCCAAGGACACAAGCCCAGATCCATAAACAACTCTCATTTCTTGCTAAGCGAACAAGCACTTTAAGAAGTCTTGTACTGTTTCATGAGCTTTCACCCTTTCATCTGATTGTGCACTTTAAAATTTTCCTAAAGGCAATTTTTTTACATTAATACAGGTATTTTTTTCAATTTTATTGCAACCTGAAATGTTTCTGCAATGTTTCCATGGCAAACTGGGTAACAACATATTTAATGCTTCCATCAAATAAATTATATTTCAATTCTAAGTACATATATAAAATTAATTTTTTAAGCTTTAACCCAAGAATCGTCTGAGATTGTAAAACCGTAAACCCAATAGGGCTCAACAATTTCACCTGTTTATATTATTAGGACCTGCAATTCTCAAGTGAGCATATCATCCCCTCAGAGGCTGGGACACTGAACCTCCTGACCCTTTCATTCACAGATTACTTCAGGCCAACAACGCAATGGTGTGACTCCAGCCTCTGTACCTTTGGGCTTCCACCAATGCAACACAGATTTGAGTTTTAGCCCTGCAATACGCTTCATCAGCTTGCGCCTTCAGAAGTGAGTTCCTGGTTCTACAGAAGGGAATGAATATATGTTTTGCTTGCACTTTTTGGACAATAATCCAGGTCTCATATGGCGGGCACTAGAAATGGAATGATCCAGTCTGGAATAGTGGTGATGCGGCCGAGTGGTGGAATCCCAAAAATGTTCCCAGAACTTTGAGGTCTTGTTTTCATTTACTGCTCTCTGGAAACTTAGGGTGACCTCAAAGTGAGCTCTTTTAGTAACGTATAAGCTTATACAGCCTGTAGCCTTGTAAGACTAGGCAGTTCTTTATTTAGCATGAAGATTCAAAGTATTTTTGTACAAGTGTAACTACTGATTCAAACTTTTCAAATCATTTGAAACCATTACAAAAAATTTCTCTCCAAGAATTACTAAAGGAAAAAAAATGTCTTTTTCATACAGAAATTGGATAATCAAAGTTTATCTGTATTCTCAGAATTGAGGTATTCATAGTTCCACAGGAGTAAAGATGTTGGATTGCACGGGTAAGGGTGTTTTGTGCATTTCCTGATTAACTCCGGTGCTGGATACCCAAGGAATTGCCCATCCTTCAACTACTTACTCTGAAAGGAGCAAGGAAGAAGATGAATTTCCTGAGGAGGTTAAGAAACAGAGTATATTTAAGTCACATTTTTTTTGGCAGAGTAGGCATGGAAAGCTCACCTGGGTATACATCTGGGGTGTCTCAGAACCAGGTCTTCAGCACATTGCAGGACGTGCTCAGTACTTTGCAAGATTGAGCTCTTAGTCATAAAAATATATTTTACATATAAAAATACAGCAGATGTCCTTCCAAAAATCTTAAGTGTTATTCCCTCTCATTATGTTTTATACATTCAGAAACAGACATTTGAGATATACTGTGAACAGTGCAAAAGACTGTTTTATATTTATAAAAACGCGCATTGCAGTACCTTTAAGCGCCAACTGAAAGAAAAGTTGAGAGAGGTTTCATCCTCAGAGAAATTCTGGTCCAAGTTGAACTTTTGTTTGGCAAGTTGTAAACAAACGTCTTAGAATGCAGAGAATCTTCTCATTTCTTTCCAGCTAAGGTAGTCTCAAACACACCGAGTCCTGCTTTGAAGTAAACCTGAGCTGAATTGATGCTGTTCAGCACCTCTGACAAGGCTGCTTGAATGGTCTCATTTGACTGATGTAGTTTGCAGCGCTCCAGTGCCTCTAGCAATACTGAAAACTGGCTTGTCCTTTCATCTAGTCTGTAAAGAATATTCCTAAAAGAGAATAATGGAGAAAGGTAAACTTTTTACTCAAAACAATTCATCGGAAATCATCAAGAAACCCTGCAAGTACCAGCCACACTTCACAGATGATACATATTATGCACAGTAAAGCTGACCCATGGCAAACTGAAAGAGAACTGCATATTTATTATGGCTTTGTAAACTGCATCTGTTCATTGATCCAGGCATACATACATTGAAACATTCACTAAATCCACCAGAGAAACCTCACATTCTTCTTTGACTGCTCAAAATTTTATTCAAAATCATGAGCCTGGACCTATCACATCTCTCATGAAGTATCAGCTGGATTTCATTTATTCCCCTCTAAAAGAAGTTTCATTATAACTGTGGACCCTAGGCACGGTTGTTTTTTCTCCTATCTGCTCCTGTTATTTATTTCACACTTCAGAGGTGAAATTCTAGCTGTACTGAAGTCTATGGTAAAACTCTCATTGCCCTCAGCAGAGCCTGTATTCCATCAATAATCCTTTGTGGCATCAGAACAAGAGCAACCCATCTTTAATGTCACATACCTGAGGAAGGATATAAACTGAATGTACAGCTAAACCTTTATGAAACAAAATCTATGTTTTCCTATAACATCTGCAAGACTTTAATGGCTCATATAAAAACACATGAAAAGGTAATGCCTGATTCCTGTACGAGGTGTTGAAGGCTCAGAATTCAAAGCTAGTCAGTGATTTCAATGAGACTCTCTGAAGTAGGCTATAAACGTTACCTAAAAGCAGGTGTAATCATTATCCTAATTAGAAAGCATGTAAATATCATAAATCTCCACCCAGGAGCCCCTTTGACTTTCAACAGAAGTGAGTGAAATTCGAAACAGGAAAGCTACACATGGTTTGGTGCAGGACCCTATCCTTAAACACAAGGCAGGTGTTCACGGGAGTTGTTCCACAGAATGAAACCAGCAAGAAAGCAGGACAACAGAGATATTCTGTTAGTAACCTAATTGCATGACAGAACGGGCCCAATGGCAACTCCAAATTGGTAATAAAACTGCCGAGTACCTACAAGGCAGATGACCGCAAACATGTATCTTATGATTATTTTATGAGTCATCTAACTGCCAGTCTGCAAAGGGGAATGGGAACGAAGTGGCCCAAAAAATGACACCATAGAACATCTACAATCTTCTGCCATGTTTTCCCGTTTGAAAAAATGCTTTGAATGAGGGGCAATGTTTTTCAAAGATCTGAAATAACTCCTATCCTCGTAACACAATTGTTCAGTCTTTACGGTTTTACCCTCCTACATTGGGTACACATCCAACCCCAGCAACCTGCAGTAGGAACGGTAAGCTGTTTGTCCCCTGACAGCAACACATCCAGCCTTTTCACGAGTTCTGCAACGCAATCAGAGGAGGGAAGCAGTTTGAATTCAACACTGCAGTAGAAGGACAGCTTATACAGTGTAAACAGTCGGTCATCACTGACCTAGATCGTTTAGACTGAAACAGGTCAGGAGCACTTGAAGGTACAGTTCAGTGGGGACAGAAACCTCCAGCAAGAGGACAGTAACAAGCAGATGTGGCAATAACTTCTTCAGCTTGCTTGGCAGCAGCCACAGGAGGACAACTGCCTGCTGCTTCGCTTCTGAGCTGATGCTGCTGTTCCTTGAGACTATGATGCAGGTGACACTCCAAGGTGACTAAAGTTATATTATGGACTGTCCCTGAAGAGTCTCTGTGATGTAGTAAACAAAAACTCTGCTGAGAACCAGATAAACTCTTGGTCGGTTGGTTGGTTTTTAAGGATAGGCTGTGCTATGGGTAATACTGTAGTTTTCAAAGCAGGGGTCGACTTTGCTCCTTCTGAAATCAATTCAGGGACTCCTGCTGAGAACAGTGGGAGCAGAACCAGGCTTTTGAAGAACTCTCCTCTATAGTTCCCATAGTTCACAGGGAGATAGAAGCCTGATCACAACCCCACAAAGTGCAAGGACAGCAGAGGCAATGCTAGAGATAATCACATCACTTCCTGCTCTCAGGAGGCATGTGACAGTCCTACCTGGTGGTTGGTGGCTGGGAGAGTTTGACTGAGCTAGAATTCCACTCTGAATGCCTACAACACTGGCATCTTGATCTATACTAGGATCCCTCTGTTCCTTTACTGGGGGTAATGTCAACTAATAAAAATGTTGTAAGAATAACCATGAGCAGAGCAACACTAACTTAGACCGTTAGAAATCAGATGCTAAAGACAGGATGACCTGAAGACTGGAACATTTGGCAACTGCTGAGAAAGTGTTTGTGGTGAATAGGAACAGACCTCCTCCTGTCCCATCCTCAAACGTGCTCTAAACAAGGCTAAAAAGATGGTTTACCTTGACATACAAGGATGTTATTACAGTTTAACTCTACTGCTGTGATTTTGTGATCACAAGTGATTCCACAGTAAATCCACAGGCAGGTGATCCACTGTAAAAGACAAGTATTCATAGCCCATCCCACCTGACTATAGGACAAACCGGTGCCTGATTAGAAAAGCTTACTGGTTTGATGAATCAAAGAGATGAAGCAGTCTGCTGTCATAATTTAAAAGATTATCTTAACTTTTGCAATAGCGATATGACTTTGGCATAGTTGATTGCACAGTAGGACAGAATCTTTTATTTTTATATATGCAAATAATACCAGTAACATTATACGGCACCTCTTTTTTTTCAGATTTTCTGCTAGAATTCCCTCCAGGAGCTTGTATTTTCCAATTACTTATCTTTGCTTGGCAAGCCACGCCACCTCTTTGTTGCACAAAATGATTTCTCTCTTTATGCATGCTCATGAGAGTCAATTGATACAATTTTACTTCTTATCTCTGTCCAAGCTTCATCAAATGAAAAAAACAGCTAGTCCAGTTTATTACTTCCACGCGTTTACAAGTCAGAAAAGTGTTTTCATTAAGGATTACACATGGACTGAAAAATAAACCCCAGCCATTTCATTGGCACGAGATATCACTATGTGACCACGACATTCAGAATGATACCAAGAGACTTTAATTTATACTGTGAAATTCAATTACTTAAACATTCCTTAATACAAATTGGGTTTGTAGCCTGCACCTCTAAAACAACAACTGCAGCCTCTGGCCTAATTGCTTAAGTATTTACCTTCATCTTTAACTATTTTGATCTTATAAATATAATTAGCACAGTCAGCCTGACCCACACAAAGCAGAAAGAGACTCCTAAACAGAAAAGCGTGATACATTTTCGATGACACTAATGACATTACAACACGCATCATTCATCTCAAGGGGCTTGTTTCAACGACACATCACAGTGGCCTGAAAAGTGTCACACTGAAGGAGCAAACCTAATTAATAACTCCAGGCAGTCCCACTGAAAGAGGTAAAATGGCTCCAAACAAACGAATTGGCTTTAGAAAGCAAAGACACTATGAAAATGGATTTTCTAAAAAATCTCTTCCATAACTTCGATGAGCCCTTTGCAGGCCAAGGAACAGAAGCATTATTGATCGAAATAATGCCACTAGAGTTAAATGCTGGTTTACGCTACCACAAACAGGGATGTAATGTCACCCCCACCAGGCCAAAATGAATTTGATAAATTCTTACGACAGATCACACTAAAAATATATTACACTTAGCACAACTTCAAGCTATTTTGGAGATTACATTAGAACAACCGGACAGTACAAGATAAAACTAGATTACTGCATCATTCTTCTCATGAAAAAAGTTTTTTTAGCTTACAAGAAAAGTTGGTGTGTAGGTAATGTACAACACAAGCTGAATTATTCAGGTACTTACTAACAGCCTCCTATCTAAGAGCTTACGCTGGAGATTTTGAAAAGTAATTATTAAATCATTAGGACACGACGGCAAGTACGCAGTCCCACATAAAATGAATGCAGGTTTTCTCTGAGGAGTCACATTAGAATTGTTTACAGATAAATGCTATGGGCAGCCTCTATTTCAGTTATAGCAGTGTGCGCTGTGACTAGAGCTGCTGCAGCATCCTCACAAATTCAATTTCATGAATCCCTGAATTACTTCTTCTTGTACTCTCCAAGAAAAAAAAGCTCAACAGAACAGGGATTCTCTGCACTTCTTTTACTCTTGATAATGTTCAGTTTTGAATGCACTTTGTTTTCATTCATGTTTGTGAAACATAACATGTTATTAACTTGGCAAATAAATAAATGCATTCTAAGAATAGTATTTCCATGTTAGGACTTCCAGTTCCACAGGGTGTTTATTTATCGTAGGACATAAAAATATTACAAATTCTCTTCCCTGGAAACTGCAGGAGCTGATTTATACTAGTTTATTTACACTAGTTTGTACCCCAGAAAATTTTATGGTGAAGGTACAGAAAGCTTCCCTTCTTCCTCTGGGTCCCTTATTTTTTTGATCTGCAACAGTGCTTCTCCTTTCCTCTCTTTTTGTTTTTTAAACTTTTTTGACACCCACATACAGTTATTTTATCTTACCTTCTTTATTTTGCAGCACTCTCGTGGCAGGTTTATAATTATAAAATTAGTGCTGCTAGCCATGTAAGACTAACTTATAACTGGACAAAATTTATGCAGTGGTGAATGGTCATTACATGTCATTATAGCTGATCCAGAGGAACTGGATTTCTACAATGCTCATTTCTTGCTGGATCGAACAGTGGAAGTCGTTGGCTCTGGGGCCATATGATCAAACAACACTCGTGACCAGGGGATATGGCAGCCAACCTTTTAGGGCATCTTACCTGTAAATGTCACTCTATTCCTTCACTGTCCAAAGTCCTCACAAATTCAGCATGTCATATTTAAGGATCCTTTATTTGTCATGTGTGGTTCCTAACTTTTGTTTGCTACACATCCTGCCCTTTTTTAAGAGCCTTCAATTATTGCTCTCATTTATAGGACTGCAAATTGTTCTACCAGTATGTATTACAGAACATGATGCCTTTAAATCATGTACACTCGAAGGTGAAAGTCTGCCAGAAAAGAC